GGCTGGGGGCGAAACGCGTTCCTGTGGTATTTCGAGCTGGAAGGCTTGCAAGCACGTAGTGGTGGAATGGGAATTGCAATGGAAGGTTCAGCACGGACAAGAGCCCCCAAACCCCCTTTTTATAGCACTTAGGGCAAGACGCGAGGTTTAACCTTTCAGCCTGAGCGCCGCAGGCATCGCTGCTGGCGGGGATGTTGGGCGCTGAAGCTGCCACCCACCGATGTAGCTAGGGGATGACGCAGATCCCACGGGTAGCAGTCAAAAATAAAATTGTTTCCTGGGACTGGGGGTTTTGTTTCAGCAGGGGAGTGGTTTGCATCCACTGATCCCTTATTGCCAACCACCAGCAATTAGCTGTGCCATCGCTGACGGCGTACTGCCCGCAGGAAAAAACAAACAGCGTTCTGGTTTCTTTTTTTTCCTGGCATGAGGCAGTGGTCCGTGATCCGTGTGGGAGCTGGCGAGCTGAAACTGGGGAGGGGGGATCAACAGGGCGAAAGCAGGATGGGAGAACTGGAGGGGGGGAGGGCATCTCTCCCAGGGTGGTGCCGCAGCCCATCCCAGCCTCCGAGGTGCTGCTGGGTCTGTTTTTAACGCTGTTCTGGAATGCAGAGAGCATCAAATCACCTGCATTTCTTCACCCATCTCCTTTCCTTTCCTTTGGGGAAAGGGTTGGACTCTCGCCCCTCGCGATGGGCACCATGAGCACGCAAACCAGCGTCAGAGCAAAGTGCTGGGAGAGCCGGTGCGGCCGGGCGCGCGCTGCCTCCAGGTCTCGCAGACCAGCTCAGCCCTGGTACAGCTCTTGTATCTCAGCAGGCAAAATTCCTGCTCCTCTCTGGATTTGCTTTCCAAGTCTGAGCCCTGTTGCCAGGCAGCCCTGGGATTTAGAACCTATAATTACGAATGCCAGACAAATATATTGCCCTGAAGCTTAGCAAAGCTGTTGGACTGTCCTAAACCCCCTGTGAGAGAGAATTTTTTCTTTTTTCCCCCCTGCTTCAATTCTGTTACGGATACTTGGTGCCGAGCTCCGGAGCAGGCTCCTGCACCTGCAGCTCATCAGCTGCTGTGATGAGAAGCTCCTTTGCTGCCAAAGTTTCCAGGTTCGAGCCGCTCTGCCCTCGTGTCTTCTTGCTCCAGGTGGTGGTGGTGTGGAACGCTGCTCGGGTGACCCGTGGCGGAGAGGTGGCCGTGCTGGCCAAAGCGCACACGGATGTGGACATCCAGGCCTTGAAGATTGCTTTTTTTGATGATACCAGGTAGCGTGCTAAAAACAAATAAATACCAAAAAAAATCCAAAGCATTGGTTCTGGCACAGCTGTGGGGTGAATCGTGGTGCTGCAGCCGTCCGGTTGCCATTCCTGTTCTCGGTCCTTGCTGTCAGCTGGTGGCCCTTAGGGCACCGACGCTTCACCAGGGGCTTGGAGAGCCCTGCCCCGGTCCTCACGCGGTCTCTCCCGGGACAGGATGGTGTCGTGCGGCCGGGACAACGTCAGACTGTGGCGAGTCCGGAGCGGAACGCTGCGCTCGTGTCCCGTCAATCTGGGCGAGTACCATTCCCTGGAGTTCACCGACCTGGCCTTCGAGGAGGGGCACGCGGCCGAGCGGGAGCCGGAGGACCGCACGCTGTAAGGGGCTGCTGGGCTGTGCCATCACCCGTCCTCGGGGCAGCCTGCTGGGAGGGAGCTCTACGGCTCTGGCTGCCTTCGGCGTCCTCCTTCCCCCTCCTCTGCGTAAGCATGGCCTTTGGCTTGGGGTTTCCCTGCAAAATACGGCTGCTTCCTGGAGCTGGGAGAGCCTCTCCCCTCCTCGCCCGCTTTGCTTCCCAAAAGAGATTCAGCTGCTGGCAGGATAGCCCAAGAAATGGCTCTTCCCTATTGCCATTCCGATGTTTTGCCGTGTTTAGTGAACCTCTCCGCCACCCGAGGCTTGTGGTTAGCTTTCTGGTGGCAGCGGGAGGAGTGTGGTACCTGTTGTCTTGCATATAGGCAGACACATGCTTTTTGTTGTTGTTGTATTTTAGCCCTCAAAGCCTTACCTCTGTTGCTACCCCACGCTGTTCCAGAAAGGCAGGGCTGTTGGCTGAGCTGGCCCTGCCTTGCCCCCACGCCGTGTCCTGTGGCAGAAAGAGGTTTTTCTGGAGTCTATGCCCAGCTTTTAGCTCTTTTGCTAATTCATGTTTCAAAGGGACAAGAAATACAATAGGAAGCTCTGTGATTTTGGCTGTAAATTTGTAGGGTAGCGCGTGGAAAGGTGCCCTCGGACACCTCGCTGACCCGTTAGGTTACCATGAACCAGAATTGCTTTCCATCAGGCAAGGAGTTTAACGACTGAACCAAGCCGGGTTTTTACTAAACCACGCCGGCACAGCTCCTCGGAACCCGGGGGTGCAGGAGCAGGGCTCGCTCTCCCTTACAGCTTCGTCTGCAGCAAGAGCGGCCACGTCTTGGAGGTGGACTACAAGAACGTCTGCATGAGGAGCGTGCGGCGGCTCCTGCCCGTGCCGCGCTGTTTCCCGAGTGCTAAGGACCAGTTAGACCGCTGCTAGCTGTTTGCCTCTTAAGTACTCAAATAATCTTCCCTAGTACAGCAAAGTATCGTTCTAAGACAGGATTTTGGCATTTTAAATGCCGATTGCACTTCCAGAGCAACACTGCTTTTAGAAACATGAAACAAGGTCTTCATTTGCTGATGGGAATCTCGATGTAGAGATGGAACAAGAGCTAAGCAGAGCAATGAAAAAGATGAATTTGGGGATTATTTTTTTTTTATTATTATTATTATTCAGCCTGTGCAGAGTGTTTGGAAAAATCTTTGTTGCTGTATACGAAGTGGTACAGCCCTCAGCTCTTCCATTAATTTTAACAGCAGGAAGAATTCACTTTCAAGTGCGATTGCTCTGATATCTTAAAACTTGGGGCATGGTTTGCTTTGGCAAATTGAGCTAATTAATCTCGAGCGTGCCCCTCTGAGAGGTGCGTACCTCTGGTTCTCACTTCATGGGCGAGAAAACATCCAAGAGGAGATGAAACGATGTCCTTGGGCGTCCTCCTGGCAGCAGCGCTGGCTCTTGCCAGTGCTTTGACCAACAGACTCTACACCTGAATCAAGAATTCCCCGTTTCTGTAGATCTCTCTCCCTTCTCACTACACTGCAGAGAGGATTTGAGATGGGGAAATGAAAGGGGTTTGTATCCCAGGCAGTTAATCTAGGGCATCCCTTGCCACAGGATCCCGTTCAAGGCAAAAATACAGCAGGGCATAACAAGCGGTAAGAATTTTCTGTGCCTGGCGAGGGCTGCGCGATGGTAAAGAGGAGTGCTGGAAAGGGACGGGGACCGACCGTGTTCCGAGTCCCGAGCAGGGCTAGCTGAGACTCCTCAGCCTATACTGGTGGTCACCGTGGGATTCCTGGCATCTTCAGCGGCTGCGGGTAGACCATTGGACTCGGCTCTTGGATGGAGGAACCCTCAGTTTGGGTTTTCTTGTTTCAAGTGTACAAGTTAACGGTGGTTTTTTGGCTTTTCAGGCCCTGGGATCGCTATAAGCAGTATTAGCATCTCCTCAACCTTCTGTGCCACGGGTTCGGAAGATGGCTACCTGCGGCTGTGGCCGCTGGACTTCTCAGCCGTTGTCTTGGAGGCAGGTGAGTAGAGCTGGGACCGGTGTTTCCGAGCTCCGCGTCTCCATCAGCCTGCTGCTGTGGAGCCAAAGCTCTGCTGCCGCGTCTCCTAAAGCGATTCTCATGAACGAGGGCGTCTTTTACGCCTGCTGTCTCCAGGGGTGGCTGGCTTGGAAGTCTTTTACTTCAACAACAATTATTCTTGTTCATTCTTGTAACTCGCAGGAGAAAGGCAGGGTCTCCTGGGTGAGAGCAGGCACTCAGTCGTGCTTTCTGTGCCCTTGTACCCATGGCTCTTCCATCTGTGAAAAATTAGGGGAGAGCAGAGCAGTTCTTCACTTTGTTTGAAAAAACCACTATAACAGCAGAGCTGGGGGACTTCTAGAAAGGGCAGAGACTTAATTTGGCACTAAGCTCAAACCTGCCAGCACTCAGTCCTGGGATCCTGTGGGATGCTCGTTCCTGTGCACATTACCTGCCTAAATGGGAATCTGGTTCGGTAGCTTTGCTCTGGCTGCTGCTGCTCCTTTTCCAGGGGGAGTTTGCCAACTCCTGTGTCTTTCCCCAGAGCACGAAGCTCCGGTGAGCTCTGTCTGCATCAGTCCGGACAGCCGCAAAGTCTTGTGCACGACCGCTGCTGGGAATCTGGGCTACCTGGATATCCAGTCCCGGGACTATAACACCCTCATGCGCTCTCACGAGGACTCCATTTTGGCATTCTCGGTGGAGGGGATTTGGAAGCAGATGGCAACGGTGTCTCAGGACAATACCATCCGGGTCTGGGACCTCGTCTCCATGCAGCAGGTAGGTGAGACGAGAGTCAGTAGTGTCTCGTGTTTATTAACAGTCTGCCTGGTCTGTCTGTCAGAGCTCCACAGTTCAAAAGCCCTTACATGTCCTCCCTGAAGCATGGGGGGTATCACGGGCAAGAAAGCCGGGAGTATGGAGTTCTGAAAGTTTTGGCTTAACGCATAATTTGGCCTTAGCTTCTGAAGGTATTGTTAAACAAAAGCATTTTCTCTTCCTCCATCTTTTGAATATTGCCTTTTAACACAAAACATAATACCCGAGGGCTTTATCTCAATGCCCACAGACCCAGGACTTCACTGGGCTTTACATCCATGCAGGCACGATGAGATTTCAGTCATGGGACACGCTCATGGTGGAGGTCTGAGGCTGATTTGGTGTTCGGTACGGCACCGGGTACAGCTTTGTCCAGCTTTGTGCCCGCAGCGCGTCTCTCCCCACAGCTGTATGACTTCACGGCCGCGGAGGAAATGCCCTGTGCCGTGGCCTTCCACCCTACCCAGCAGATCCTGGCCTGTGGCTTTGACAGCGGGATGGTGCGGACCTTCAGCTTGGCTGCCTCCGATCTGCTGGTGGAGCACAAGTAAGGAGCTGCACTGGGGTGGGGACGGGTCTAACTGCGGGTGTCCTGGCGAGAGCCACAGCCATAATCGTGGAGGTGGGAAAAGCGCTTTTTTTGGGCTTGACAACCCTCACGTCCCAGCTGAGTGGTTTTCAGGCAGAGTGAGCCTGCTGCACCGAGGCTCTGGGTGGTAAAATCCAACCTGCGAAGGCTGTGAGGGTTTTCTTCATGACTTCCCAGCGGACAGTTGGCCAACAGTAGGAAAAGGCTTGTCCTAGAGAGCAGCTGAACAGGGAACCCTCACAAGCCTTGGCCTAGGAAGCGGAGGATGCTCCAAAGGGAGCATCCTGCTTTGCTCCAGTGCCTTGAGGCGAGCTCCTGGTGTCCACTTCTTCCAATAAAATCCTTGTGCTTGATGCAAAAGACGGGACGACTGGTGCGAGAGGCAGGACGCTGATGGAATTCATGTACTGAGGTCTCGTGTCACGTGGGGCTTGGGCACTTTGTCGCTGTAGGAGGCTAAATGAGAGAAGAGCTCACCCTGGAGCTCACAGCCGTGTCCCCTCCAGGGCCAGCTGGAGCGTGCGCTTGCTGCTCGGTTTTCCAAAAAGACGGGGCGTTGGTGGTCCTGGGCCGCTGCAGGCATGAGCACGGTGGGGTCCTCTGCCTGCCCCTGATTATTTTGTTCCCCAGGGTTGTTCACATTGCTGCTGTTTTCTGGGGTTTTGTTTGTTCTCCTCCCCCTTTTTCATGTTTTCTGCCTCCTTTCAGGCAGCACCGCACTGTGATCACCGGACTGACCTTCTCTCCAGATGGCAATTTCATGTTCAGCGCCTGTTTGCAGGGAACTCTGGCTCTTTACAGCTGCATGGCGCAGAAAAGCCACGTCCTCAGAGTCCTGGGTAAGGCTTCAGCCTTGTGGGTTGCCTTTCTTGGTTTTTTTATTAGCACAGACATCCTAGCACCAAAGCCAAACCAGACTCAGCCGACTCGGAGAGATATTTTCTGATGAACCTTCCGAGCGGTGTCATTTGTGTTTACGCCGTATGTGAGCAAACCCAAGTGACCGCCAACCCTTCCTACCCGTCCTGCTTCAAACACTCGCAGCTTGCTCGGTGTTTCGGCAGGGCTGGAATGGCAGGGACCTTGCATTTCAGGGCTGGGTTCAACAGCGCGTTGCCTGGAAGCAGCGCAGAGTCTTCCTAATTTATTCATGCCCAAAGCCCCCACTCTTCCCACTAAAAAAAATCCTGCCGGCAGCACCGAGCGGCGCTGGTGAACAGGGAAGGCCAAGAGCTGCGGGCGAGGGGAAGCAGCGCGGGGGCAAGGCAGTTTGGGAAACGTTAACGCCACGTTTAATGGGCGCTTTTTGGAATGAGCTGCGGCAGCGCGAGCTTGGGCAGGGAAAGGGAGCTCCGTTACGCAGTGTTGGGCAGAGAGGAGGATCCTGCCCCAAGAAGTGTGCAGTTGAAGAAGGTGGGGAAGGGACAGGGGCTCGGAGAGATCAGGGAATTTGTCCAAAATAACCCAAGTTTGGTGTCAGTGCTGCAGCTGGACCTTTGCATGTTGGCTGGGCTCTGAAACTGTTTGCTGCCTGGCCGTGTTCCAGGGAGAGAACGGTGGGATTTTGGTAGTGGAATAAGTACAGAGAATTGTTCTGATGCCTGGGATTTTATTTTTTAGACCTTCGGGTCTATCTGCCCACAGGACTGACAGCAGCGTGGTGGGGTTCTGGGCACTGACCTCATTCTGCGCAGGGTTCAGACACCCAGGCTGCAAGCTGAGATTTTGCATTCACAGCTCCTTATCGCAGCTTCTTGTAATGTTAAAAAATAAATTTTATTCCCTTGATTTTGTTCTGCTCTCCCTGAAAACACCGCACATTCAGTCAGGTGCCAAGACCTTGTCTTTGAGGTGGTTTACTGCATGTTTTAGGTGTTGTGGGTAAAATTTGTAGCATCTTCTGCAACAGAGGCTGCTTCTTAGGCCACAACGTTGTCCCAGGGCTGATTCGGAGGCAGGAGAAGCTGCAGCTCTGCCGGTCAGCAGCACCATCACCAAGGTAGCTGGCTGCAGTGTGGGCTTTGCTCCTCTCTCCAGTCTCTCTCTTGCTGTGACCCTCAGGCAACGTGGTGGCCCGGGATGCTGGGAGCGGTTCGGATGCTTTGGTGGTCAGTGGGGACAGCCGCCTCTTGGCCTTCGTGGGTCCCTCCAAGTACGTTGTGACCGTGATGGAGGCCTGCTCTCTAGATGAGGTACCCAGCCAGCCCCCCTTCTTCCCGGGGGATGGTGGGGAGGGGGAAGCACGTGCTGCAGGGGAAATTCCCGCAGGCTGCGTTAGGCGAGAGGGACGGAGGGCCTTGGGCACCAGCCATGTCGGAGCATGCCCTTCCCTGCAAGCACTCAGGGTGCTCACAATGAGGTTTGTTTTCCATTCTGTGAGAGAGAAACAACAAAGTCCAAGTTTTCTTCTTCTCCGGCTTCATTCCCCTGTAGAAAGATGATTTGGAGATGGCTTATGTAGACTGTCAGCTCCCACTCCTCTTTGTGAGCGGCTCTCCTGGGCAGCAGGGACGTTGCCTGGACCCTGCAGCTCCTCGTTAGGTGGGGAGGGAAGGGTCTGGGGGACTCCACAGCCTCACGTCGGGAGAGCCACAAGCGGCTCCTGAGGCTTCTGCAGCATTTGCTCCAGGATGTTTGTTCAGTAGCTCCTTGTTTCATAGCTGCTGAGGGTGGACATCAGCGTCCTCGATTTGAACAGCACAGCCTTGAACTCCGCAGCGCGAGTCTGCTTTGCTCCGGTGCCTCGAGGCGAGCTCCTGGTGTCCACTTCTTCCAACAAAATCCTTGTGCTTGATGCAAAAACAGGACGACTGGTGCGAGAGGTAGGGCGCTGATGGAATTCATGCACTTGAGGTCTCATGGGGTTTGGGCGCTTTGTGTCACTGTAGGAGCCTAACTGAGAGGAGAGCTCACCCTGGAGCTCACAGGCTTCAAAGAAACCCACGAGTGGCCAGCAGGTAGCTGTCCTGGTGCAGTTGTGCTCAGGGGGAGCCCAAGCTTGTTCTGGTTTTCTGTGCTGTTGTGCTCCTGTCCTCATGCTGAAGCATAAGGAGGGACAGGAGCTAACTCAGCTAACTCTACCATTCCTTGTCCGCAGGTGTCTCCCGTGCACAAGCTGTCCTGTTCTTCCTTGGCGCTGAGCGAGGACGGCAGGTACCTGCTCACTGCTGGCGACAAAGTGATCAAAGTGTGGGACTATCAGATGCGCTTCGATATCAACTTCCAGGTACTGCCCACAGAGGGAGGGGAGGGGGTTGCTGTTGCCCTGATCAAGCATTTCTGAACCCCTGGAAAAGAGAGCAGCAAGACGCTTTCAAGATGCAGCTGGACAGGGTGCTGGGCCATCTTGTCTAGTCTGTGCTCTTGCCTAGAAAGGTTGGACCAGATGATCCTTGAGGTCCCTTCCAACCTGAGATTCTATGATCCAAATGCCCTCTGTGTGACCTGGCCCAGTGTCCCCAGTCCCAGTTTGCCCAGCAGCTGAGAAATGCAGTCCTATTCCCACCTTGTAATAATGCCCTGAGCTGAGCACGGGCTGGGGCTGCCGAAGCACTGCACCCAATGAGACCCTCTGTGAAGGACCGAGCTAGGCGTCACCTCTGTGCTAGGGACAGAGCCACCCGGAGAAGAAAATGGCTCGCCCGTTTTTACCAATGGGTAAAATTTTACCCAAATTTACCCATTTCAGAGGTATTGAGAGCTAGGATAAGACTTTGGAGGGTTTCTGGTTTCTCCAGATGAGTGAGGGTCAACCCCAGTTGGTCAACCCTAGGTCTGAGCACTGTAGGGTGCGGTGCTGGCCTCTGAGGGGATGGTGGCTACTGGTCTCTGTGGTGCTGGCTTCTGAGGGGATCTTCCGCCGAGGAGCGTTGGCCCTGGCTGTGCGGGGTGGGGAGCGCAGTAACCAGCACCTGGCAGGGCAGGGGTGGTGATGGAGAAGTTCAGGGTGTGCTCTCTCCCAGGTGTACATCGGCCACTCGGAGCCAGTGCACCAGGTGGCCTTCACCCCAGACCAACGGCACGTCATCAGCGTTGGAGATGCCATCTTCCTCTGGGATTTCCTAGCTCTGCCTGCAGAGGGGTCACCCCCAGATGGGTAAGTGCACGGCGCTGGGCACTGCCTCCCCCTGCTCCATCCCCCTCTTGGTGTAACGCCGGTCTCCTTGCCTTTCCCAGGGTTTGTTCCTCTGAGTCTGCTCTGCTGCTGGGAGCAGGTGAGTTTGCCTCCTCCCGTGAGTTGTGCTGGCCAGCAGCTTGGCGGCTCTTCCACGGCTGCTCTTCGTGGCAGAGGGTAGGGGCTGAGCATTTGTGGTTCCTCCCCTCAGTGGGTCAGATAGCAGGGGGCTAACCAGCTAGTTAACCCCAAGGACAGTCAGTCTTCAGTTAACTAGCACCTCTCGGTGGGAGTCTGCCAAGGAGGGGATGTTCTGAGCAGAGCTGGTTTGGGTCTCTTGGTAGGTCTTTCAGCTTTTGCCTTCTGTCCTTCCCTGCCTCCATCTCTTCTGTCTTCTTTTTCCCTGCTCTCACTGTCCCTCTCTCTGTCCCCCACTTTCTTGAAGGACAGAGAAGAGGAGGCTTCTCCTGTGGGGGAGGAAGCTGGAGAAATGAGCTTGGAGGTATTGCCATCGGTCAGCTCGGGAGGGTGAGAGGACCTAAGGGATGAAGGAGGTTACACAAACCCTTTTCTTTTCACAGAAGGGAGCTCTCAGGAGCTAAAGGATGCCTCTGAGACACCTCGGCAGACAGTTCCTCTTCCATTGCTGTCCTCGCCACCACGTTTGGATGTCAGCTCTGTCCACCAAGCGGGATGTCAAAGTAAGAGGAACTGCTTGCAGGAAAGGGGGAAACTACTCTTGGTTTAGGAAGAACTCCTTGCCTAGTTCAGCAGCATCCTTGGAGCCATCCTTGCCCATGATCCCCTTCCCGCAGCCTGACAGACCAGCCTGCACTTTCCTTCCCCTAACTTGGACAAAGCCAGCCAGAGGTGTTGGGGTTCAGCATTGCTTTATCCTCCGCTCTCCTCCATAGACTAAGCTGCCGGCACAGCTTCTCTGGGGGCTGTGGTAAATCCCTTGCTGAACATACCCAGGAGGAAATGTCTGCCTTGCCCTCCACCCGAACAGACAGGCTGTTACGCAGAGCAGAATGACGCTGCCAGAATCAAAGGGTCGGTCGGACGTGAAGCAGCCCTGAAGGACACGGATGGCTCTGTCCTCCCACTTATATTTCCCTTCAGGTATTTTTTCCAAGTCGGACAAAGAGGAGGAGGAAGCAGCTCTGCCAAGCAGCAGTGGGACTGTGGCAAACGGAGACAAAGATGCCTCGGGTTTTGTGGTGGAGTCGGTCAGAAACGAGGAGCTTGTTGTGAGGCCCAGGGTGAGGCAGGAGAGCTCGAGGTCTCCTGGAGAACCAGCAAACGGTAAATTGGGGATATTCCCATCTTGTACAGAGCTTGGCTCCTTGGGGGCACAATGTGTGCTGGCCTGCGTGGCAGCTTGGTCTATCCCTGAAAAATAAAGATCGTTATTAATGTGGTGCAGCTAGACTGGGACACGTGCTCGGAGTTGTGAGATGAAGGGCACCGATGTGTTCCTCGGGGCTCTTCCCTCGGGTGTGATCCACCAAGGGAAGTGGGTACGGAGGGAAGCTCGTGCTGGTCCCCAAGACTGCTTGTTCTTCTGGTTCTTTCCCCGCTGCTGCTTCTAGGCACGCCAGAAGCCCCTCTTCAGCTTGGGGCCAATATCCTTTCCCAGTGGCACGTTCTGTTAAACCCGGCTGAAATTAAAGCTCCCGATGTCTCTATTAATAGACGGGCAGCCTCAAAGCTGGAGCAGTTTGTGGAGAGCTGCCAGAAGCAGGCGGCTGCCAGCGCTCAGCCCCAGGCAGGACTTGTTGGAAAGCTTCAACAGAAAACCATGCCTCTGCCGCTTGCGTTGAAGAGCTGCGTGGCTTGCGCTTCCACAGCGATGCCCAGGGCACGCGGCGTGGACGCCCTTAGGCTGTTTGCAGCGCAGTGTGGCTGGGCAGGATGATGGGGAGAGATGGACGTTCCTCCTTTGCTCCTGGAAAGCTGGTGCTTTTCCCATGGCCGGTCACGTAGGAGCGCCTGTGATGCTGCAGTCTGATTTTTTTGCTTTGTACACAGCATCGGAAGGGACAGCGAGCTGCAGCCGAGCTCCTGCTCCCAAACCGCTGCCGGGAGCGGCATCCCGTAAGTACTGTTGTCTTCTTTGTGTGGCAGAACCCAGAAAGGAGACCAAAAGTCCCGAGTCCCAGTGCTCCGTCCGCCCAGACTCCTACCGGCATTTCACTCCTCGCTTTAAGGCATCGGTGCTCCCCCAGGTGAGAGTTGTGCCGGGACCGGTTACCCAGGCGGGTGGCAAACAGGCATTTTGGGGCTGGGGTAGGTGGATTTTCCAAACCGTTTCCATTTTGTTCTCTGAAAGCAATTTGTGAAACACACTCTTGGGCCTGACGTGCAATTAGAAACTCCTAACATTAGTTTCCCCTTTCTCCTCTACGCGCAGTTCTTTCCAGGCTAGTAAAAAGTGAGTTGTGATCAACTCTCTTTCTGTTCAGCAAATCTGCATACATTTTTATTCAAAAGAAATGGAAATGGCATGTGCTATTGAAAGTGAAAGACGAGTGAGCAATGGAGTGATTCATCGTGCGCCCATATTTGCGAGCAGCTGCGTTGGCAGAGCAGGCTGGGGAAGGCAATCCGTGGAGCGTAGTGAAGATAGTCAAGGCACAGCTCTTGCTCTGTTAACAAACAGAGCAATAATAAAACAGAAACTTAACTCAACCTTTTCCTAACCTCTGCTGTTCGCTGGTGCTGGGAGAAAAGCTGCGCTCAGCTTGCACCCTCAATTCTCTCCTCTGTCCCTCCACCTGGTTGCATTTTTTTCCTCCCCACCATCTTCCCATTGAAACGCCTGCATCCCCAAGTACTGAGCCCTTTCCCCGCAGGATCAGCAGCTGCCCATCGGCAGGTGCTGCCAGCCTGGGCTGTGCCCCATCTGAAAGCATCTGTGCCTGGGTTTGGTGCAGTTTCTCTTTTTGGTGTGTAAGCGCGCGCGTTGGTATTCAGCTCTCGATGTGTCGAGCTTGAGTTGTGTGAGCATCAGCATGAATTTGCGTGGGGGGGTGCGTGGGGGTGAAGGACATGTGCGTGCTCGCACGCATGCTTTTTCGTACAGGGCTGTTGAACGTACCTGACCGGGCCATCCTTCTAGAGTTTATTTTAAGCCAGTGTCTATTTTTCTTGCAGAGTTTCTTAACTCCTCCAGCTGGCGATGAGGTCTTGAAGCTGAAAGCTGTGATCGGCTACAACGGGAACGGCAGAGGGAATATGGTGTGGAACCCGGACACAGGTACCCTGGGAAGGCTCTGGAGGGGCGGGAGGTGTGTGTGTGCTGAGCCAAGTTATGATCTTCTAGCTGTTGGGTTGGGATCTTTGCATTGGTAACATCCAATACCCCTTCTTTGCTGTTGGCAAATGTTAGCGGATACGGGCAGGCTCAGGCTTCAGTTGCCGGGTGGATGGAGCAGGAGGGAAAGCTCTCACCAAGGCCATCTTGCCTCCTTTCTCCAGGCTGCCCAACAGCTTTGCTTTGCTCAGGTTAGGGGAAGTGAGATTTTGCTCTGCTCCCAGCCTGAGGGGAAGGATGCTGGCAGGCTGGGTAGGAGAGTCAGCTTTTACGTAGTACTGAAAAAA